AGTTCTCCTGGATGTTTACTGAACTCTAATAATGTTATCACAGGGCATCTCAGCCTGAAGGGTGTTTATTAATGGGACTCAGGGAAGCTCTGCCAAAAGGAAAGCTGTTGTGGCCAGACCATTTCACATAGGTAACTGGGTGCCATGCCCAGAAGTCACAGCCATTCTCATGGCAGAACATGGGATGGGCTGCCCTCAGTCCCTGATGTCTTTGAACTGAGTATGTGTTTTGGATGGAAACAAGGGCACTCCCTCTGAGTACTGGCAAAGCTTCTAGCCACAGAGCGGAGTTAGCATTTCTGCCAGTCTTTGCTTTTATGGGAAAAGTAGATAGTATTTGGATTAGGGTAAAGTTTTTAACCTGTCTGCATTCCCCAGGTCAGGGCTTTGCCAATAGAAATAGAATGCAAGCCACATACATGATTTGAAATTTTCTAGCACCACATTAAAAAAAATAAATGGGTGAAATTAATATGTGCAATATATTTTATTTAGCTCAATATATACAAAATGTTACCATCTGAACGTGTAACGAGTATTTTAAAATTATTGAGGTATCACATTTTTCCATGCTGTCTTCTGAATCAGCCTGCATTTTACTCTCGTAGCATTCTACACAGATGCCACATATTCATTGGCAATACTGTAGATCGTTCTTAAGACCATATGTTTGTGTAGTGTTTCCCATTTTCTAAGTGCTGCTTTTTTGTTTTCTCAGGTTACTGTCTATGTAGCAGAGTCCATGCCAGGATGTCCCTCTCAGAAACTGTTTTAGTCAATTAGATTCCTTCATCAAGAATTTAAATACCAAGGGAAAAGTCGCTCTGCGCATGTGTGCTACTCCCCGGGGCCAGGAAATGCCTTGCACGGTGTGGGTGCTTAACCAGTGTTTATCTACCTGAACCCTGCTTAGTTCTCACATTGCAACTTAAATTGCACTTTCTTGGGAAAGTGTTTACTGACTCTTCAGTCTGGCACGTGCTCTTTGTTTCATTTCCTGGTGCTACTGAGTTTCCTCCAGAATATCCTTACACACCAATGTGAGTGATTTTGTGATTAATATCCATCTCCCGAGCTAGGCCCTAAGGTCTCCAGGAAGGGGAAATGTGGTTTTATTCACTAAATATCCCCTGCTCCTGGCATAGAGCATGGCACATGACAGGTATGGAATAATCATTGGTCAGCTAACAGCACAAAGCATTTATGATAGGAAATGATTTGTAGAATAACTTGATAGACGCTGGAGTCTGTTTCAGATCAGGAAAGCAGGAATATTTTATTAAGGGTTATAATCATGAAAGAGTAGTTTCCCTTTGTATGTGTGGGGGATTGATTCCAGGACTCCCTAAAGTTACCCAAATCCACGATGCTCAAAGTCTTTGACATAAAATGTTGTAGACTTTGCATATAACCTTTGTACAACCTCGTGTATACTTTGAATCATCTCCAGGTGATGTGTCATACCTAATACAATGTAAATGCTAAGTAGATAGTTGTGATACTATATTGTTCAGGGAATAATGACAGAGGGAAAAAGTCTGTGCGTGGTCAGTACACAGGCGACCATTGTAGGTGTAGATATTGGGAAAAGGGGTACGCCTCTCCCAGCATGAGAGGGTTGACCACAGGTTCTTGTGTTCATGTTTGGAACGATTTCTCAAACAGACACACAGAGAAACGGGGTGAGCAAGTCATTAAGCAAAGAAGAGTCCACTCTCAAGAGAGGAAAGTGGGCAGAAACAACCTACAGAATCTGCTGCTTCTGCAACCTGATTATTGTTGGGCTCTTTTATTTTATTTTATTTTATTTTTTGAGTTGGAGTCTCACTCCGTCGCCCAGACTGGAGTGCAGTGGCCGCTCCTGGCCACCGCAGCCTCGTCCTGCTGGGCTCCAGCGATCCTTCTACCTCAGCCTTCCAAGTAGCTGGAACTATAGGCGCGCGCTACCACTCCTGGCCGATTTATTTATTTATTTATTTGTTTGTTTGTTTGTTTTTGAGTTGGAGTCTCACTCAGTCGCCCAGACTGGAGTACAGTGGCCGCTCCCGGCCACCGCAGCCTCACCTACTGGGCTCTGGCGATCCTTCCGCCTCAACCTTGCAAGTAGCCAGAATTACAGGCATGCGCTACCACGCCCGGCTGATTTTTTTTTAATTTATTGTAGAGATGAGGTCTCGCTGCCCAGGCGGGTCTCGAACCCGCGGGCTCAGTCAATCCACTCACCTCAGCCTCCCAAAGCGCGGGATTACAGGCTGAGCCACCTAACCTGGCTGAGCTCTTTTATTCTTAGGGGTGTTGAGGAGTGGGGTTTGGGGGTGGACTTTTCCTAGAAATGGATGGTCTTTGGGCTGGGTCTCTGTTACTCCTCCCTCCCACTGAACCAGATAGGGGGAAATTAAGCCTTATAAGGTCATGCGGGTACTGTCATGGCGGCAGATGGGTGATGGGAGTGGAGACTCTGTGGGTAAGTTTTATGGTCATAGTATTGCAGTGAAGGTTTGTGGTGATCCTAGGTCCATCTTGGCTGTCGATGCATATGCCCCGGAGGTCTCTAAGCTAGTTCCTGCATTGGTGCTCTCGCTGGACCCCAGGCATCCTGGAGTGCTGCAGGTGTGTCTGATGAGGGCCTCACTGGTAGGCAGGTGTGAAGTTCCCTACCGTGAGGCCTCTCGCTTGCATGCGTGGTGGTGTAGCCATTGCTGCAGGCTTCGGTGAGCTTGGAACTTTTCTATAGCTTCGAGTTTTCCTAGTCTAACCCGCCTCCACCGGAATCACTACATTTTCAATCCACGGTGGGTTGAATCCACGGATGTGGAATCTGAGAACACAGAGGGCGAACAGTGCCGATTCTTCGTTTTTGTTCAAGCCTTTTCTAAATATCCCGTGAGTGTGCCTTTTCTTGGCTTTCTACCTATTGCTGTTCATTTTCTCAAAACATCTCTTGCCTCATCTCTGTCTCTGCCTATAATTTAAGATGCACTGAAGACAAAAACTTTAAAAAAGAAAAAAGAAAATACTTTAAAATACTTTTAAGGAGAAAGATATAGAGTAGAGACCAAGGAGGAAGCATCTTAGCATTTCAGGACATTTGAAAATAAACCCATCCTTTTAATTATGACAGAGTAGTGAGCCTTATCCACAGTATGTGAAAATATAATTAAAAGCATATCGTGGGTCGGTAGACCTCGTTGTCAGGTCATTATCAGAATCACAAAGTTGGAAGTAATGTCCATTAAAGGTTGCTAGTTTGGAAAGTCTGGATCAGAATTCAGAGTTTTTGGCAAATAAAGTTTCTCAATTTGAATTATGCTTTAGCAAACCTCTGGCGTTCGATTTTTTCTGTTAACTTGTCCAGGGAAGTGTAATACGCATATGGAAATTTGCACAAAGTTACAGCTTGATGAATTTTCACATCCAGATCAAGAAAAACTACACTCCAGCCAGGTACAGTGGTAATCCTGGCACTTTGGGAGGCCAAGATGGGAGGATCGCTCAAGTCCAGGAGTTCGAGACCAGTCTGGGCAACATGACAATACTCTGTCTCTACTTTAAAAAGAAGAAGAAGAAGAAGAAGAAGAAGAAGAAGAAGACGAAGAAAAGCCACATTTCCATTACCAGTGTCCCAAAAACTACTCTCCTGCTTCTTCCCCTTCTGCTCCCTCCCAGCGAATCATTTTTTTTCCTGTTTTTGTGCTTTATATAAATGAGATCATCCAACACATGTATTGGACTTAATATAACAGATTATATTAGTGGCACTCCTGATAGCACCTCATTGAAAACTAGGTCTGTTTTCAGTTTTCCTTATTGTGTATCTATTTTGGTAAACGGGTAGCCCACCAGTGTGTCTAGATTTTTATTATTCCTTTAAGAAATTTTCTGTGTAAATCCAAGCATGCATGAGTCTGTACCTGTGTGTGTACCTCTGTGTATATGTCTATGCTCTTTCCCATTTTACTCAAATTAGATAGTGCTTTACTGTTCACACGGTCCACTTCTCAGCGGCAGGTCTGAAAGCCCTTTTCGTGGGGGCTCATGTCAACCCACTTCCTTTGTCTTCATGGTAGCACATATGCCCATGTATAGGTGTATCATCATTTAAGAAACCAGCTGTTCACTAAGAAACAGGACATTACTGGTCTTTTGATTTTAGAACAAGAAAATCCATAGAGTTCATCTGCAGAGTACATTCTTAGAAGTGGAATTGCTGAGCGGTGGGATCCATGCATTTGCAATTTTTTCAGCTATTTGGCAAATAGCTCTCCAAAGAGTTTCACAGCTTTTGTTCCTACCACCAGGGTTTGAAAATCCTTCTCTCTGGTGGCCTTGCCTTGGATGTTAAGACATCCAGCTTGGTAATCTTTCCAGTCTGATAGTCATTGCTATTTAAATTGGCATTTTCTTTTGTTTTGAGTGAGGTTAGTTATTTACATTTATTGGATGCTTGTGTTTCTCTGGGGACTTGTTCATATTTGTTGCTTATTTTCCTACAGGCTTGTTCATGTTTTTCTTAATGATTTCAGAGAGCTCTTTCTATGTAAAGGAACATAGCCTTTGGATGTCCTCTATGGTGGTAATTTTTTTTTCAGTTTGTTTTTTGAATTTTCTGTGTTTATAGCTATTTTTCTTTTTCTTTTTTTTTTTCCTAAACAGAATGTTTTCGTTGTTGTGTGGCAAAATGTACCATTTTTGCCTTCGTGGCTCTGAATTATATGTGTGTTTAGTGAGAGAAAGCACTGGAAACTTGAGACAGACAGATAGCCTATGCCCAGCATGGAAAAAAACCTCAATAAAAGTCTGTGAGAAATGTGGTTGAAGAGGAATTCAAATTCCAATCAAAACTGGTGTGACTGACTACAAATAAACAAACATTCGCACTTATCTGCCAAAATTTGTTTAGTAATTTGAACAGCTTTTGCAGGATTTTTCACTGCTATGCTTTTTTCCTTGTGTGTTTGTTATCTGGGGTTTTAATTTCTCAAATGATCCCTTTTTTTTAGATTTCAAATTATAACCTATTTCCTGCACCATTGCTGACGCCCAGTGATCCATGTCAGAAGTGCTTCCAGGTCAGACACATTTTCACATATTTCAATGCAGAGAAGCAGTTGAATATTGAAACTTAAAAAAAAGTAATGACAGATCATTGGTTTCGATGCTAAACTTATGATTTGGTGAAATAACATGTATTTGGTTTTCATTGTCCTTCACTAATATAATAGAAAAATGAATCTTTCAAATAGAGGAGTCAACTGGACTTAACAGTATTTGTGGAATAATTGCATACCTTTATATTATAATATAAAAATATTTTAGTTGACAGTGACAGGAACTTAAGTTTCTACCATATTTTGCCATCTAGCAGGGTACATTATAGCCCGTGAACTACTGAAATGTGAACAGAGTGCTGGGCATAGGGGTTGAGTCTCTAAATCCACATCCTAGACTGTAGAGTTCATGTAGGGTCAAGCTCCCCCATTCAGTTCTTCTTGAGTCTAATGCTGATTAATTTCAGGCCTTAGGAAAACCACCTTAATTTTATTGTATGTCCCTTTCTTGGTCTCATGACAGATGCTAGTCTACACACACTGTGGTGTGGGATTTAATTCGTAGCCTCACAGTAATACAATAAGGAAAACACAATTGAAGTAACATCTCAAGTTCAATATCGTATGGAACTACAAGTGGCAATTAGATCTGGGTAGATCCCATGTATATTAGGTCACATATGCTCAGCAAATTCTGAGCTTTTAAATAAGTAGATTTAAGCCATGGAAAAATAGATATTAATGTCCCTAATTTCTAAAATTAAAATCATTATTATTAAATACGTTCAAGCTCTTTTCTCTTTTATATAAGGCTTTGCTGTTACATTTCAACAAAACCAAAATAAAATATAGAAACACTAAGCTCATTAGAGGTAAATGAGTGTAAAATTATCCTTTTATCAAAAATATCCAAAAACCATAGACAAACCTAAATTCACACAGAAAAGTCAGGAACACAGGGCTGATTCTTAGAGGCCATCTAATTATAGTGCGTGATTTGGGGAGGGTGTAGATTTTTTTTATCGATACATATTGAACAGATATGTTAATTTTGGAAAAATCAAGGCAAATACACATGTCCTTTTTTAAAAAGTAGATGTTATATGTTGAAAATAATTCCTTTTAGGGATCCATTGACTTTTAAAATCGTATATTGCATTGCAAGATGAACTCAGTGTGGAAACATTAAAAGAACAAAGTTGGCAAATATATAAAATGATATGTGTCCTAGTGGAGGTGAACAAATCAGATACCTTCTAGAAATTTCTTATTGTTGCTATATTTTGTTATGCTGATGTTTTTATTCTTCCTGTTGGTACTCAAACTGCTTTCTTCCTTAGAAGTTATATAAGAGATACTGAATATTATCTGGCATGGTTTTTAAATAACAGCTGCTGTTCTCATGGATTGGTATAACATAGGACACATTTTGCAAGAAAAGCAGTATTCTCAGTTGGAGTATCTTGTTCCAGCCATTTTTTAAACTTGAATATTCAAATATTCAATATTAAGATATCCAGAGGGGGATGATCTGGGCCAGTAAGTTGGACATAAGGTGTGCCTTCAGCCCCTTTCTCTAACTCTTAGAGTTGTGACCACAGAGGGGCTTTAAAAAAACAAACATACCAGAATTTATACCATCATCTGTCTCTAAAACTCCTGTTGACTCTTCAAGATGCAGCTCAGGAGTCCCTTCGGAGCAAGTCTAAGCCCGTGATATAGTCAAGGATTACCTTATTTCAAGAATTCTCCTATTGTTTAATATTTTTTCCCTTTCGGAATTGACTTGAGGCTCAGTTTGTCAGTTACTCAAGAAAATATGGGACATTATAGTTCACCTACTTTTTTCAGCTAAACCAAAATTCTCAAGCTGGATCTGACCATCATCGTCAGACCTGCCATAAAAGTCTAGAGCTCTATTTTAAAAAAAAAAGCATCTCCAGTAGACACTGAGGCTTTACTAAAGAATGAAAACAACCAGGAATGGTGGCACTTGCCTGTAGTCCCAGCTACTCAGAAGGCTGAGGCAGGAGGGTCACTTGAACCCAGGAGAGTTCAAGAGTGTGGTTGCTATGATTATGCCTGTGAATAGCCACTGCACTCCAGCTGGGGCATCATAGTAAGACCCTGTCTCTTAAATTAAAAAGGAGAGAGAAAGAGACAGAAATTGAACTGAGAAGGTATCCTTGGAATAAGAATATCATTTCCAAAATGGACTCCTTTGAAGGTCTTAATTTTTATTTGAATATACAAGTTCTGCTTGTGTTTCCTAAGTAACCACCTGTCATGTCCCAGGTGTGGGGTTGGAAATGCTGAGGTCTCCTCCCCCACCCCCCAATACAATGCCTCTTCTACCCTCCACTGGTGGGCTCCTCTTCCCCTTCAGAACCCAGTGCTGTCTTCCCTCTGCAGGAAACTTTCCCTGAACCTCTCCTCACCCCTGCCAGTGTTCTCACAAGGCCCTTGGCCTTCTTCCACTGTGGTGAATTTGTGTGATAACTTGTTCTTTCTCACTGCCCAATTAGATTTTTTTTTTTATTTCTTATTTATTGAAATTAAGGCCGGGCATGGTGGCTGAAGTCTGTAATCCCAGCACTTTGGGAGGCCGAGGCAAGAGGATTGCCCGAGCTCCAGGGTTCAAGACCAGCCTGGGCAACTTGGTGAGACCTCGTCTGTACGATAATCAAAAAGTAAGCCAGGCGTGATAGTGCACGCCTGTAGTTCCAGCTACTTGGAAGACTGAGGTGGAAGGATCGCCTGAGTCCAGCAGGTCTAGGTTTCTGGGTGACAGACTGTGACTCCAACTCAAAAAAAAAAAAAAAAAAAAAAGGAAAAGAAAAGAAATTAAATGCAAAATGGCATACTATCAAGTTGTATCATGACTTTCTGATTTCTTCAATTTCTTCCATGAAATTGCTCTTTGATGACAGTCTTCTCTCAGGTGTATTTAATAAATGTCAGTGAAAAAATACTCAAAAAATTCTTATTTATTTTATATCACTGACAAATAAAATGGTATATATTTACCATGTACAGCATGTTGTTTTGAGACATGTATGCATTGTGGAATGACTGGATCAAGCTAATGGTGACTGGATTTCTTTAAAAGTATCTGTAGGTGTGTCTTGAATCTCAGCTCCAACTGGAATGCTGAAAAGTGGGCCGACAGGCAGTTGAGTTGAGCAGGCAGTGGGAAACCCTTAGGTGGGTAAGGCCTCAGTGCTGAAATCTCCCGTCTCTCCGGCCCTGCGAGTTGGCTATGTGAAGGTCCTCTACTTGTTAGAATCTCCAGGCTTCTAATCCCGCCATCTCCCTGGCCCGACCCGCCAGGCTGCCTTCTAATAACCTTTCCTCTTTGGTTCACAGAGAACTTCTTATCACTTTTGTCACCTTGAGAGTTTTCTTTCATGAGTAACTGTAGGATTCCAGCTTTATTTTGCCTTTCCTCCCTAAAAGGAAAAGAAAAATTCTGAGTTTATTTTATTTCCTTAATGCTTTGAGGTCTAGTTCAAAAGGCAACCTTCCTCGGGGTATAAGTCTCACCATTAACTCCTAGGCGGAAATAAAATTGTGTAGCAGAACAATAAAAATGAAGAAAATGTGACATGTCACTCAAGAATGGGGCAGACATTGGGCTTCCCGGGGCCCATTGGCCAACGCTGGGTCCATTTGTCAATATCCAATTTTAATAACAAGTCCTGGGAGTCAGGGGAGCTGCGGGTTATTGAAGAGAGAAGAGTTTCCTGTCATCACTGGCAAACTCTTTCTTTGACAAAATGCTAGCAGTCTTAGGAAGAGAAAAGGAGGAGGAGGGGGAAAGCCAAGCTGAATCACAGCCTCCAGCGCAGGTTTGCCTTGGGAGGTGGTCTGGGTCACTGGGGTCCTGCCTGGTTGTGTCCGTGCTGGGGCCTTTGCACCTGGGTTTCAGAAAAGCTGTAATTAAAGTGATTCCGGCTTATCTAATTTTGTCAGGGCTTCATAAAAAATACTCTGTGTATTAACTAGGGCTCTTGTAGTTGCAAAATAGAGAAAACCCATCTCAAAGTGGCTGAAGCAAAATAAATACATCTATTGCCCTGAGAAGTCCAGGGGTGTCATATTTTGGGCCTGGCTTATTTGAGGGAGTCAGCCATCTGGGCTTGCTTGCTGTCTCTGTCTTTTGGCTCTGCTTCCTTATTTGTTAGGTGCATGCGTAAACAGGTTGTCTCTTCATGGCGACCCCTTGAAGCTCGGGACTTCAATCTTCTAGTTCAAGAAAAGAAGAAAATAAAGCACCTCTCATCTTCTCATTCCAGCAGTCTCGTGACTGGGTTTGTGCAGGTCACATGCTTTTCCTTAAACCAACCACCAGAGCCACAGGATTTGCACCTCTGATTGACTGTGACATGGCCATGTACCTAAAATAAGGGACCCAGTCATCTCTGCCTGAAACACATGTCTGAGCTCCTAGAATGTATGCTTTGAAGGTGGTTTTACTTTGTTCCTTTTGTTCACTACTGTGTCCTCAACACTTAGAAGTCTGTCTAGTGCATAGTAATGCTCAAAAAATAATTCTTGAGTGAGTGAATGGGTGTGGGGGAAGGCTGATTCTCTGGTAAAATCTGTGGGGCTTTTAACAGAAAAGGAGGAAATCGCTGCCAGGCTGTAAGAGACACTTCTCTGTCATGCATACAGAGAACAGTGACAGTAGTAATATTAACTGTTGTCACACTCTTATTGTTATTATTATTGCTTTGAGTGGGTGTCTCACTCTCTCGTCCAAGCTAGAGTGTAGTGGCATACTCACAGCTACCGCAGCCTCGACCTGCTGGGCTCAGGCAATCCTTCCACCTCAGCCTTCCAAGTAGCTGTAGCTACAGACATGCACTACCACGCCCAGCTTTTGTCACACTCTTAAATCTGAATTTATACGTACCTCTGGAATAGGAATCAATCCTCTTGGATTGATGGTGGATCTTCCTAAGTCTCACTCCAAACAGCATGATGGATAGATTGGGAGGTGATGGCAAAATCACCGGGGC